TTTGACTATGTCCCTGGGCTATCAACTAGTCCAACTGTAATCGGAGAAAATATTACAATGGAAGTTTCAAATTTGTAGGTATTTCCCCTGCCAATGTAACACGCGTTTTCAGAAACTCCACTACATTTTGATTTTCTTTCATTTTTAATGATGCTTTTACCTTTACCTACAAACATGTCACACTCATCTAGAAATTGTCCATTATCACTGTCTAAAGTCATTTCTTTCAAATGCTGTACATTCTTTCCCAACACAGCTTCTGGCTTTACGTAACATGAGAGGAAGTCTTTAAACAATTGCTCTTGCTTGTCATGTATGATATGAACAAGTGGTTCTTTGGATTGAAAAAGCTTCACATAACTTTTCAGTATGCTAAGTACAGCCACATAGAAATGTAAAATCAGTAAAGTTTTTTGTTCTTGATACAGGACTCTTTCAACAATCAATTTCTTTCTTTTAATTCCATCTTCTGTCATCTTTTTTTTCCCCATGGTGGCCAGTATTGTGATAATTCTTTTTCTAGCATTCTCACTGACATTTCTTCTCTTAAAGATTTCTTCTATAACAGGTTTATAGTCTTCATTGTCTTTCACAAAGGCATAATAAAACACAACATAAGCATCCCACATCTGAAGAGTTGAAAGTGATAAATCATAACATGACAGCCATCTATGGCTTATGAACTTCTCAGGCACAGAGAAACGCATTCCCAGCAACTGACATATCTCTTCAAGGTATTGACGTAAGTCAACCGACCATTTGTGGTCTGTATGTATTTGTCCAAATAAACCTTCAACCCAGTACATGAAAGGTGAACAAAATTTTTTTGTTGCATTGTGTAGATGGTGACAGACATCACCGTCGATGTCCAACATGTGAGGAGCCTTTTCTTCTCTTATCCTTTTTTCCAGACCATTTTTTGAACCTCTCATGACTGCACAAGAATCCATCAATATGGAAACAAGATTTTTCCAGGGTATATCATTTTCTTCAAAAATATGTTCTAATGCTAGATAAACTGAGTTTGTGTCAACTTTTACAACCTCAACTGCTGCTAAATGTTCACAAACAACTTTCTGCTTAGACTGGGAAAAATAATTGACCAACACTGCCAAAATATGTTTGTTGTTGTTGCTGGTTGATTCATCTATATTGAGAGAGAATGGTGAATGTCTTATTTCATTTATTGTTGTCTCATGAATTGTTTTCTTTAAGCCATATGTTAACTTGTAAGAGGCAGAAGTACGATCCATAGACAATCCATCTACAGCTTTTTTGTCTTTAGAAAGTTCCTTGGTGAGTTTAATTATCTCTGGAACCATTGTCAATGATAATGAATGCTCTGCAACAAATCCCAATACCATGGCCTGAAAAAAAAAAAATTTTCAGCTAGTAATTCATTACATATATGTCTTGATATATACCTAGCTAAACACCGTTTTTCCAGTACATTAGAGATTTAGCTCTATTGATGTTTCAAAAACTGAATTATTAATAATGCAAATCAATAAAATTAAAACAGTGTCAGTGGCATTGTCCATAATGTTTTCTCTGTAAAGTTGTGCAGCAGTGAAGGCATGTTTAAAAATAATTTTATTATATGCTAAATGTTTGCAGGGTGTACAAATCCCAGCATAAGACTTTATAATCCTTTATGTTAAAAAAAAAACATGCATGACTGCCGAGATAAAGTTTTCACAAGCAAAAATTTTAACAACCTTTAAGTTAATTAAGTATATTTCATTAAAAAAAACCCCAACCTCTGCATTGTGAATTCTATCATCTAGTGGCACAAGAGGCTTTAGCCCAACCTGCTGCTTTGGCAACTCGCCAGTCTTTTTATTTCTAAACATGGGATGGATACCATAGGCCTCGGTTGTTGCCTTCTCCCCATGACAGGCAGCAGGAAGAGTTGGTTGCTTTGATAAAGATTTCACACGTTCAGTATGATTCTTGCTTTTACAATGTCCTGTTAGCGCAATTTTTCCCCTTTTCCCGTAACCCAGGGGACATTTGCAAATTAAGCATTTAGCCAGTCCTCGTTCGTCAATTTTTCGGATCCATTCCGAGAGATAGAATGACTTCAAACTGCTTCCGATATAGATTTCTATTTTCTCCTCCATCCATTGCCATCTCCAAACGTTATCTAACCCTGCGTCTAACTTCTTTATAAATTCTGAATCTTTCGCTCGATCTAAAATTCTTTCCATTTGTAAACATTTGACAATTGTTTGTTATCTTCTTTTTTTTTTCTTCTTTTTTTTAGCAATATCAATTTTGCGTGCGCCACTCTGATTGGAGTACTCCGACTTGTACAACCAATCACATTTCAACTTTCAAAACTGAACCGGTGATCATATAAAAAACACCTCGGAAATGATTTCCGCGTGTATTGTTTATAATGCGACGCAGAATAATTTTTAAGTACCGATTTTCGGCGACTTTTTTTGTAATCTCCGCGGATTTTTTTCTTTGGAAATTTTCGGCGCGGAAATCCGCGTAAGCGCGGAAAAATCACATCCCTGGAAATGGATTTTTCGGCCACGAAATGGAGTTTTCGCTTACGGAATGGACATTTACTTTACAAATTATGGTGTAACTGACATGTCACAAAGGGTATCTTTTCTATTCACTTACGTTTAATCTGGGACAACAAATATTTTTTGTCCCAGGTTAAACATATGATATAAAACAGAATCTTTATATTTGAAAGACCATGTATAAAACACTGAACTATGTGGCATTATTATACGATTGTATTCTTAAATAATGAAAAAAATATTACCAAAATTGTTTAAATAGTAATTTTATGTCATATATCACTTGTTCGTTATTAAAAATGATTAATATTAAATAGTACACTTAGACCAAAATTTAAGAAACAAATGTCCATTTCGTAGTCGAAAAGTTCATTTCGCGAAATGGAGTCCATTTCGCATTCTATTACTACCGCCATTCCTTGGGAATGATACCAGTACCAAAGTGAAACAGACTGGAAAAAAAAACAAGCATTTTGTTTCAAATTGGGAATTTTACTTTATATGCCTCATATTCATGGGAAATTCATTTACCAATGAAGAAATGAGAATTATGCAAAATATACACTTTACAATTTCTTTGAAGACATGAAGAAGGAGGCACATAATGAAACCATGCATCATTATATCATTAAACATATACAACTATATCAGTAGATCTACTGCCTAGTTAACACTCACAAGCTGCTTTCAGATGAAAATTTTATTTACCTTCTGTGTAATGTCTCCATCTTTCAGTTCAACATCTAAACATTCAAGTCTGCAACACAATTTTAAAATAAGAAACAATCATAAATCTATAAAAATTATGAGAAAAAGATTGTCAAAAATCTCGTCAATTAAAAAACAATGAATCTGCAAAACAACAAACTTAACAAATTATTAAAAAGTAATATGGGTTATGAAATTCCTTATCATCATATTAAACTTTTTATTAATTTGATCCTTATCTTTATAACAATTTACCAAACAATAGACGTGTGCATTTTGTCCGAATACTACTACACTTTTGATTAATATTAGAAAATTTAGCCATTCTGTATAAATCAAAGTGTGTTGACAAATACCAAAATGATGATACAACATTACTTTTTCGTTATGTCTTCAGATATCGACACTGATGCATTGGTTCTTCCAGGCATTTTAGTAAATGCTGCTGTAAATAAACAGTAGCTTTTCCCGGTTTACTTTTCCCGCAATTTTAATCGGAATGCTTGATTAAAATCGAAGAAAAGTGATATTGTGCGAACAGGACTTTTTTTCGCGAAATGTACTTTTTTCTGGGAAATACCAGTATCATTCTTGCTTCTTATGCTTTATCACACAAATCTCCAAAACAAACTTTTATTAGTAGTACAGTATTTTCTAATTTTATCTTCACATATAATGACATATACTGGTAGTAGCCCTGAGGAGACGTATACCAGATTTCACATGAAGAAATAGATTTAATACTTTAAACTGGTGTTGGCAAATTGACATATACAGTAATAAATTATTTTTCATTATCCATCACAATTTTACCAGTACAGTATTCATTTTTATGGTGCAACAGAATTCTGTTTATTAAGAATCGTGCAAGTTGTATGTACTAGTAAATTACACGAGGTTAAGTTAATGTGACCAATTAAAGGACTATCTCAAATAAAGATTTTTGACAATGTTTTTTTAATTTATTGATGGAATTTAATAGTAAGAAAACTGCTGACTCCCCTATGTTTTTTTTCTATGTGGAGATCTATTACAAAGTCTGTAAAACGCGCTTCATGTTAACATTTTAACCGCATGTCACTTTGACAAAACAAAACATTACTTTCATTTTAATAATTTGTAAATAGTACATACTATCCTTTCTCAAGGGACTACTTTTTAGGAATCACTCGAGGAGCTCTTTGTTAGACTTATTTACTCAGTGTAACACAGACGCATAAAATGTATACATACACTGGCCAGGGGTAAAGTATATCAAAAGCCTGTGACCAAGCCTGGAATTATATACTTAAATACAAACCAAAATACTGTTTTGCTTAGTTGCAGTAAAATCGATGGTTGTAAAAGACAACATAGCTAAGTAATATAGTATCACATGGCCAAAGGTAAAGAAATTCAAACAGCTTATATCAACAAAAAGTAAAAATAACCTTCTTAAGTTTAATAGCACAGTATATAGAGGAGTTGATGAAAAAAACAAACAACCCCCCCCCCCCCAAAAAAAAAAAAAAACAAAAACAAAAACAAAAAAAACACGGGTATACATTGTATTTAAAGTTAGTTATACTATTATATTGTTTTATAATAAATAGTAAATGTAGAAATTGATAATATTTCATTTATAATTTTAGGGGATTTAATACTGCCACCAACCTCATGCAGTCTTATCTGTCAAACAGGAAACAGCGAATAAAAATAGGCAATATTGTAAGTTCATGGGCTAATATATCCAAAGGTGTCCCTCAAGGATCAATCCTGGGCCCTCTACTGTTTAATATTTTCATAAATGACATATTTTTTTATTTATAAAACAATGTACTTTATATAACTATGCAGATGACAATACCCTTTCTTTTCGGACAAAACATTTTGATGAACTAATATGTACCTTAGAACAAGAAAGTAACTATCTTATAAATTGGTTTCATTTTAATAAAATGCAAGCTAACCCTGATAAATTTCAAGCTATTGCTGTAGGGAAGAAAACTTTCACTAAATCCCCAGCTTTCAAAATTAATACAAGTGAAAAAACATGTGACGAAATTGTAAAACTCCTTGGCATCGACATTGATCAACAATAAAATTTTAATTTTCACATAAGCAATATATGTAAAAAAAAGCTGCTAATCAGTTAAACATCCTCAAAAGAATAGGTCACAATTTAAATCAAACAAATAGCTAAAACAATCTTTCATACTTTTATTTTGTCCAATTTTTAATTTTTGTCCTATGGCATGGCATTTCTGTTCAGAAAATAATACTAACAAGATGAAAAAAACTACAGGAAAGAGCACTTAGATTTGTCTATAATGATTTTAATTCAAGTTATGAAGATTATGCTGATAAAAGTTAATATACCAAATCTAAAAATAAGAAGAATGACGGCTATGGCCATTGAAACTTTTAAAAAATTTTCATGATATGTCTCCCTGCTGTTCTGTCTGACCTTATTGTCAAGAAAACTACTGGTAATAAATTTTAAATATTCAAATATTTTGCAGATCCCGCAAGTAAGAACTACAACTACTGGTAGGTATGCTGCACCTGCTTTATGGAATACTCTACCTGAAAAATTTTAGAAAATTTTCAAATTTTGCTCAGTTAAAAAGTTAATTTCATCCTGGAATGGTAAACAGTGTAGATGTATTGCTTGCAGCTAACTTCTATATCTTTATTTACTCCACTTTTTATTATTTTTCTGGGTATGAACATTTTCTTTTGGGTCACATTTATCATTTAGTTTCTTCAGTTTTTTTTGTTGCTTTAAATGTGTTTTTGCTTTTCTTCCTGCTTATGTTAATATTATCATTTAGTTTCTAGATAGGATGTTGCTTTATTTTGTGATCTTTTTGTTTTGATTTGCTTTTGTATTGTTGTTTTTTGCTTTCTTTCCAGCATGACTCAAGCTAGCTGTTAAATGAGTTCAACTAATGACTTTCATGTTTAATACCTTCTGTCTTTGTGTAGTCTGATAACCCATTAGTCTTTCATATTTAAATTATATATAAAAAATGTTATGTTTTTTTTTCTAAGTTATTTATTTATTTATTTATTTAAATAATTCATTAAATTTTTAATTGTTTACTCGGTATATTATTGAACTTTAAATAAATTTTTAGATACTAGACATTGCTAGTGATGTAGATTTGGGTAAACTATCATTTTAGTTTTTTTAGCATATGATTCGTTTTTATAAATATATCCTAAAAGGTCTATTTTATGCATATGATGTATATATATCATGTCTAATCATTTTTTTATTGTAGCTGTTTTATCTTTGTTGATCTTATACCTTATGTTATATACAGTCGGTTATAAAAGCTCCTAGAGCTTATGTTGTACTGTTGAAAACTTGCCGACTTGAAATAAAACCTATCTTATCTATCTTATCTTATCTTATCTTATCTTAGGGGATGTAGCAACGACTATATAGAGAGGGGATGGGGTGGTAATTAAGATAAAAACAGGTGGAAACAGTTACGATTATAGAAGATAAACGTAATATGGCTTCCATTGTTAAACACGTAAAAAGACAAGTACATAAAAAGATTAAACTGGAATCACGTGACTTCGTATAGTAATACCCACGAGTAAATGGCGACTGCTGAGCCCGGGTAAGTACCTTAGTATGTTAAATTTAGGTGACAAACGTTTCTTAAATAAAAACAAAACCTAGCGTATCATATGCGCGGACATTTTCTTCAAATGACAATACAAAGTGTATTATCCTACGTTTTGTGGTTTTTGAGAACATTGTTTGAATTGTGTGAAAATTTCACATGCAGCGATAGTAATTCGCACGAAGCGGTATAATTTGGTACCAAAATAAATGAAAATAAGCTTCCTTTCTGCACCAAATAAATAATTTTATTGACATCATTCTGTTATCGTAGAAGTCCATATACAATTTTGTTCGAAGGTCTGTAGCCTACAAATGTTCTTTGCAAGTGTATAATAAGTCAAACGAACAATTTCTGGATAGTAAGTCGCACGAAAACAAAATAGTTTCCCGCAGTTTCCAATAGCTTACTTAAATGTGTCGAAAAGCATTTTATAATTTTTTGGCTACCAATTTGCAAGTTTGTTCCGTCTACGGTGACAAAGAAACAAATGTCGAGAAAGTATTTTAATAATAATTCATATTATTTCAAGTGTATAATAAGTAAAACGAACAATTTCTGGATAGTAAGTCGCACGAAAATTAAATCAATTTAACATAATAAGGTACTTACCGGGGCTCATCAGCCGCCATTTGTTCGTGGGTATTACTA